GCAGGCAGCAGGAGGGTTTTGGCACTCTTTCACCGTCTGTTGTCTGCAGCTGTGCCCTCATCAATCAACCTTGCACTGGGCCAGCCCCCAAGGGAGCTGTCCACTCAGCGGACTGGCTGAAAAGCCCAGCCCTCAGGCCTGCAATCACTGCTGTCTCTGCGCACACCCCCTGCTGTGGCTATTCCAGGGCGGAGGCTGAGGCTGTCACCACCCCATGGACACAGAGAACCAGCAGTCCTGTCCCAGAAACAGCTCAGCAGCCTGCTCAGGGACGGCCACCTAGGACAGCGCTAAGGGAACAGCTAAAAGCTTAGGTTTTAAATGGACAAACAGAGACAAATCTAACTGTTCTGAGCAGATCTTAGAGACCTTTCTAGAGCTGTAAAACATCAGGCCTTGGAGGGGCCTCAGAACAGGGGATGTCAGGGCTGGGGGGGGCGCCTCATAATAGGGGGATGTCAGGAGGAGTCTTCAACATAATCTAATCCAACCACTTCTTTCTCTGGAAGAACAAACTTAGAGATGAAGAAATTATAGTCCCCCAAATTAAAAATAGGGTTGCATTATACCTGAGAGGTCATTTTCTATCAAAAAGAACAATGCTCTAAAGTGGGGTTTCTTAACCTGGGTCCACAGGTGCTCAAGGGGGCTATGAACCTGTATAAGAAAAAACAATTACATCTTTATTTCAATATAATTGCTTTCCACTATAATCGAATGTATTTTACTTTATGCATTTAAAAAAATGATTCTGAGAAGTTCAGCACACAAAAAAGATGAAGAATTCCTATCCTCAAGTGGGGGCCAAGTCCCAGAACACACTCCACACCAACCGCAGGAAACAGATGCAGCCAGGCATGTCAGTTCCCGGGTCTGGGAGATGAAAAGGCCACGCAGGTGAACTTCCATCCTGCCGGTACAGCCGGACGCATCCTTTTATTTTTTTTGTCAGATTGATTTTATTGGTTCTCTCAGTAGGGGTGTGCTGGTAAACGTTTAACAATCAGCTTTCTAGAAAAAAAATTACAACACATTGCTTTCTTAAGACTACACAGTGATCAAAACACTACAGCAAGCCCTAATCTGTAGGCTTTTCTGGCAATTTCCAAGATACAAGTGCTCATAATGAGACTGTGGCCAGCAGAATCAGGTTCCAGCACACTGCTGCTTCTCAGAGAGCTTGATAAAGGGAATGGAGGGTGGCAGCTAGCTGGCACACCGGCCCTGAACTCGGGACCCGAGTTCAAATCTGGCCTCAGACCAAACATTCACTTGACACTTACTAGCTGTGTGACCCTGGGCAAGTCACTTAATCCCAATTGCCTTAAAAAAAAAAAAGGGAAAGGGGGGGTGCTGTCATTGGCAGACAAGAATATCCAGCTGACTTGGCAAATCTAACACACAATGCAATGAACCCATAGCCTGGCCAATTGTGAATGATAGCGCGCGGTATGTCTCTCTGGCCCCCGGAGTGCACACAGTATGAGAGCTGGCCCTCTTTACTGGATGGAGCACTTCATTAGACCTCTATTACTGTTCAGTCACTCCAGTCGTGTCAGACTCTTCCCAACCCCATCTGGGGTTCTCTTGGCAGAGATACTGGAGTGGTTTGCCATGTTCTTCTCCAGCTCATTTTACAGATGAGGAAACTGAGGCAAACAGGGTGAAGTGACCTGCCTGGGGACCCATCTTTTTAAAAGGCGTTTCTGTGGGCAAAGGTGTGCTGGGTAGGGATGGCCAGGACCTCATTTCCTTTTCTGGCTGAAGAGAGAGTGGCTCTATAAGGAAGAAATAGGGTCTTTGGTGGACAATGGAGGTCACTGGGGAGGCCTTCTCCTGAGCTGGGACTTCAGGAATGGGGAGCCTATGGAAGCAAGACTCCCGGGACAGCCAATCTCGGAGTCCAGCGCTGGGCTGGTATGTCCACCCTCCCCCCCAAATCAAGCAAGCTGGCCGAGCACTTTGGCTGAAGGGCCCACGGGGGCTATGCTCCCAGGCTGGATGACCATAGTTCACTTTCTGGGACATTCTTACCCATCTGTGTTCCTATTTAACCCTGCAGAGGAGGGTGCCCCATCTGCACTCGACAGATGCAGAAGAAGGGCCAGGACTGGGCCCAGGTCACCGCAGGCAGGTCCCACAAGGAGCTGGCAGCAGCCCAGGGGGGGACAGCCTTGGCCAGCCATCCCTCTGTTCCAGCTGCTTTGATAAGACGGTCTACACCAAGCAGCGGAGCGGACTGGGGTGGAGGATGGGGTGGGACAGCCAGAGAAATCGTTTTCGTCTAGCTTTAACACTTGGCCCTTGGGGTCAACAAGTTGGGAAGGAAAAGCAGGAATACCAAAGACCAAAGAGGCGGACCAAAACTTTTCTCCAAATATTTAATTCTTTGGGGTTCTCTGGGAAGGTCGCATGCCCCCTCCCCTCCCCTCTCACCCCACAAGCAGCAGTAACACACACACACACACACACACACACACACACACACACACACACACACACGCAGACAAATGAGGTCAACAGATGACTGCACGGAAAGGTCTGAGCTGAGAAGTGTTGGCTTCCTTCCTGCCTCGTCCTTAGAATGGCCCACAGAGGAAGACGCCACCAGACAGGGGCACGTCCCCTCTACCTGCTGTCCCACGCACCCCCAGACACACTCTCAGAGGGGAGATCTGCCCTAAACTCTCCAACACGTAGAAAAATAAACATCACATGGCCTTCTGGCACCATAAACACAGGAAGAACAGCAGCTGTCTTACAATTGTCTTTTTTTTTTTTCCCATTTTCTAGAAAATTTATTGTGCTACATTAGCAGGAATACGAGCAAAGTCACCACCGGGGCGGTGGAGGGGGTCCGAATGACAGTGGCGAGGGCAGCCCAGCGACCACACGGCCAGGCCCCAGGGCCTGAGCCCCCTCACACAGCCGTCACCCCCTCTGCTCAGCGCTTGGGGCAGAGGCCTCTTCTCCCCATGGCAGCCCCCCGGAGCCTGACATCAAAAAGGATTTGTACACGTTTGTTTTATGCAGACGCTTCTACCCTCCAGCTCATCTGTGATTCATCAGTTCTGAAGTGTCCAGAAAGGAGCTGAAAGGAGGGTGTCGGGAAAACAGATGGGAGCATTCCCACCCAGGCTCCGAGATGTCCTTCTGCCTTCGCTCCAGAAAGATTCTGGGAATCTCATGTCCTTGTCGTCTGCCCAGCAGAGGAAAGGGGGCAGCTGGGAGTTAAGGGACCGCCCCTGTCTCTTTGAAGGAAGTGATCTAGCTTCCTCTCCTCCTTCTGGTTCTGCTGCACCCAAGTCTTTGGCCTGTGGGGGGCAGAGCACAGGACACCACCCAACCCTTCCCTGTCCACGCCCCCACGGCTACCGCTGGCATTGGGCACGGCAACCCCTCCCCTCTCAAGAAAGTTTTGGGGGATGGGGGCCCTGGCTACCCCCTCGTCTGAGAAGGGTAGTACAGAAGGTGGGAGAGAAGATGTGAAAAGATGTCTACAACACCGTCCCACTGACTTGAATCAGAACATAAAATGGCAATCAGACTCATGGCATTGAAAAAATGGTTAACAGTGCTTACTCTTTAAAAACAAGTATATCTATGTATATAAATATATACACACATCTATGTACCTATACATAAACCATACCGTATCTGGTCAAAGAAAATTAAGACACATCAGGCTCATGTCCTCCCCAACAGCAAGACGAGACCTGCCCTCTCGGAGGGAGTCCCCGGCCAGGCTGCCTGCCTGCCTCAGGGCCGGCCCAAGACGATGATGCTCTCAAGTCTGGGCCTCTCTTAGAGGGAGAAGTCATGTGTGTGTCTGCTGGGTTTTCACCCTCCACCCAGAAGCCCCAGGAGACACTGAAGGAGGCACTGTCCTCCAGCCACCCCTAGAGGCAGGCGGCAGGCCATCATCACCAGATGTGGCAAGTATCCTAGACGGCACTGTCCACTGCGGCGGTTTCACATGTTTTTACCACTCGGGTTTGTTAAAAGTCTTTACAGGGACGTTACTCAGAATCTGACAGGTCACTTTAAATAAAGCAGAGTGTTAAGTGTGACAATTTTGTCCATCACCTTGCTTTTCTTCTGACACATGCACCTTCCCTTCCCTCTTCCCCCCTTGAAAGAATTCCAGACTGGAGGGCTTTTCCGTTTGCCCAAGGGTCTCTGAAGGGTCTCTGAAGGGTCTCATCGGTACGGAGAAAATGGACAAATCTACTCAAAAGGGCACACACCAGCTACAAAAGGCAAGGAGAAAGATGGCTTTGCCTTCGTGCCCACGACCGCCAGAAGACAAGTGGGGCATGAGCTGGGCCGCCCCGGACTTACAAAACTGCCCCCACCCTTCTGACGCACGAGCTTCTCTTCTCTTCCAATCTGCTCATCTCTAGCAGCCTCGGGCCCTATGCTTGCACTTTTCCCACTGCTGGCCAGGAAGAGGGCACTAGAGGAGATGGTGCTGAGAGCTCATGCCCACAGCTCTTGGCAAACAGGCAAAGCCTTTGTACCAATCACCAAGACAAGAACTAGATGTGCCGTCCAACGAGCAACCTAGACCACTAACCTCGGCCTCCTTCCGAGTGGGGAGGCCCAGTTTTTCAAACCAAACCACAGGCTCTGCACTCCAGGACCACCTAGAAAGAAAATACCTTCCTCCCCAGTTTAGCTAAAACATCTGGAAGGGGTCACAGCAGGCACGATGAAGCAGTGCGTGCAGTCCTGGGCGGCAAACACCTCGCTCTGATGTCACAGGCCTTCCTGGCCCGGCTGGCCGAGGCGATTCCTAGGCCCTGGCTGCCTTAGCTTCCCCATCTCCCCCTACAATCATGCTTTGTTCTGGTTCTAATGCAGGCACCAAAGGACACGCTCACCGGCTGTGGACAGCGAGGCCCGGGGAAACACCAGGCTCTGTGTCCTGCTCACTGATGGACTGCTACCTCTCCCCGAGGAGGACGGAAAGAAGCCTTTCCTACTGCACAAGGTCCTTCCCCTTTTCCTGGGTGGAGCTGGACAACAATGATATCATACCTGGCCAACACACCCTGCTATCTGATGGGATGTGAGGGCAGGCAAAACCAGGGACCATCGAGATGCCACAGAGAGGCAGCCCTTGTTAGCCCAGATCTAACACGGAAGGAAAGTCAAAGAGTGAAAGGCGGCTGTACACTCCAGAGGGCCCCCTTTCCCATCCAACTGGGATGTCCAAGGGGAGTCACCCATCTCAACAGAGTCCCTTCATTCCCCACCAGCGAGGAATCCTGCCCCCCAGAGTCAGGGGTTACCAAGTCCTCCAGATGCGCCCTGCGGGACCCTCGTGGGCACGAGCCAGGCCGGGAGCAGCGGACCTCCGGCTAGCTGTGGTGAGCCCCAACGCCTCCCCACACACTCGCTCTGGGAGTCCCTCGGCAGAGATGTCTAACACGGAGAGGGGGTGGTGCTTACAAGGGTCCGTATTTCGTCTCATACTTGGAGACGATGCTCTTGCATTTGCCCACTTCCTTGCGCAACTCCGCGACCTCCGTCCTGAGGGCCGTGTTCTCCTTCTCCAGAAAAGCAGCTCGGATGGTGATCTGATTCTCCTTCAGCCTGCGGGCATCCCGGGAACGCTTGGCCGCCACATTGTTCTTCTTCCGGCGTGTCCAGTATTTTTCATCCTGGGTGAAACGTTTGAGAAATCTTAACGGTCTCCAGCAGAAAAGGGGCCTTCCCCCCTTCCTCTGCTCCACACCTTGGCAGGCCCCCAGCCCGGGCACAGCACCCAGGCTAACAGGGGAAGACACTGACACTTAACTGCCTTGGTCAGCAGTGAACTGTGGTCTGACCACAGGGCCGCGGACTACAAATTCAGCCTCGTGTCCATTAAGTGACACATGAGGATGCCCGTTTAAGGCGGCCCTTTTCTTCAGGGGACCCCCAGGGTGGGGGCCAGCTGGTGACAGGCCCTCTCAGTGGACCAGGAGGTGGCTCCTCTTGGACCTGGGGGTGGTGGGAAGAGCAGTCCCTAGGAGCCAAAGGCTCCAGGGCCTTTTACCTAAGGGGAAGCCACCTCTTGGCATTTCCCTGTCCATCCTGAAAGGGCTAACTCTTAGCTAAGGGAGCTCTGGCCTGCTGGCTGTTGGAGAAGTAAGGCACAGAATCAGGAAGAGCTATGTAAGGAAGGGAAAGGGAAAGTGGACCAGGAACCAGGAGCCCAGTGCTCTAATGCCATCATGGCCTTTAACTTTACCGAGGTGACCTGAAGTCACTGGAGTGGGGTCTCTGCCTTCTTCTCCATAAAAGGAAGGGACCAGACAGCACGATCTCCCAGGTCTCTTCCGGCACTGAAAGGTCTACTGACATCAGTCTGCCCAGGACCCAGAACAAGGCTTCCCAACACAGGGTGTCTACCAGCTCATCCCTCTGATTTTCTCAAGTTTTTGCCTGACAGGGTTCACTGATTATATCTTACTCCAGTGTGTTCATAAAGTGGAAGGGTCCTTCCAGCTACAAGCAAGCATCCCTTTGTCCCTCACAGATTACTGGGCTCACCTTATGGAAAGGACAACAGAGACTAGGCAGCCACCAGGGCCCCAGGATGGAAACCAAATTACCTTCTGCTCATCAGGGACAAAGACCTTCTTGGCCTTTTTGATCATTGGCTGGGGTTTCAGGTCCTCTTCGGCAAACTTGTGCTTTCGGGGGTTGAAGAGTTCACCCCCTGGCACACTGGAGAGGACCAGGTCCGCAGGGTCAGGGTTAAAGTTCACATCGACCTCCACACAGTTGGGGTCAATAGGGCTGGGGGTCTCTCTTTCATTTTCCACAGAGGATTCTGAAAAAGACACATGAAGAAGGGCTCGAGCAATCCTACAGATGTAGGGAACTGCTAGTATACCCAAAGATCCAAGTTTTATCACCAGATACATATCTCCCCACTCCTAAATACGTGGTACTTTCCTTTTTCAAAAATGCAATCATCCTGGCTCTCTAAGAACACAAAATATTGCACAAACCACCAAAACGTAAGAAAATGCTCCCTTAACACGTGACAGTCAATGCCACAACGCACAGAAAAAATTTAAAAGGCACAAAGAATTGGAGTGATTTTCTATTTGACCTGTTCCACAAAGCTGAACAAAGTTTAAAGTCAAGATAGCCCCGAACTTGCTTCTGTTTTGTGAAATTCTAAAAGGATCCGGGACAATGGCTCTCACAGTGGTCTGTGAGCAGGACTGGACCTACAGTCCCCATGGCCATTCATTCCCCCTCGTCTGGAAGCAGTTTGCTGAGGTCACTGACTAGTCGAGGGGAAAAACAAACTGCCTGATGACTGGGAGAATCCCTGGGTGCCCCAACAGCAGACTGCTGAGCTCAGACATGCAATTCTAGAAAATGTGGCAGTGAGGAACAGGGATGGTTCGAGGACGTGAAAATGTCTTGTGGGAAATGAACGGAGAAACTCTGGAGGATTTTAAAGGATGGGGGCGGGGGGGGGGAAGCAGGACTGCTGTCTTGAAATGTTTTATAGGCTGACAGATGCCTCGAGAGGCCAAGGTTAAAACTGAGGCTTGAAAGTTACAGTCAATACAAGGCAGAGCTTCCTCCATGACAGCCATCTGAAACAGGTGACATTACTCACAGAAGGACAGACTCTCAGAGCCCAACCTCCTCCTCTACACCATCCCTAACCAGGGGAGGGGAGCGGGCATCAGGCCTCTCCGCAAAGAAGCACCACCTCCTGCCGTGGCCCATTTCCCCGGCAGACAGCTCTCATTGAGAGGAGCATCTTCCAGATCCCCAGCCTCAGCTGGCCCCTCTGCTCCTAGCTCTGTCCTCTCTTTTCCCCAGGACTTCACCACCACTGTCCCTGCTCTTCTGTACCTTCTCAAGGCTAACATCCTGAGTCCCCTCCTCACCCCCTAGGCCCTGGCTGCCCTCAAGGACGATGCCCAGATGGAAAGAGACTCCTGCATAGGTGAGGCCACTGGGGTGGAGGAGGCTGGGCCTCTCCTCCCTATGCTCCCCTCTCGGCCTCTGGGTGACTGCAGCCAAAGATGGCATCCCACACGCACTGGGATCTCTGCTTCACCTTGCTTAAGCTTAAACCATTCGCCTCAGTAGAGGCGGCTCACATTTGAGGCCCTAGAGACATTTCTGCAGCCTGACTCCATGGTCCAGTATTAACTTGATAAGGGTGCTGCTGATGCCTTTCTCCAAGGCTCCAGAGCCACTCCCCTGGAGAGCTTCTAAGATTCTGTCAAGACATGACTTGCTCCTCTTTAGGTATGGACAGTCAACCAGTTTCCAATACACTCAACTGTATAGCTGTCCAGCCCAAATTTCTCCACATTTTCCATAAGAAGAGTACAACAGACTCTGTCAAATATTTTACTAAAATCAGGCAAATTTACCTTTGGGATTTCCCCGATTTCCTACTTGAGTAACCCCGTCAGCCTGGCACACCCTGGACTTGGCCTGTTCTTTGGGATCACTGCTTCCTTTTCCATACAGTCACCAACCATCTCTTTAATAACAGTCTAACATTTCCCCAGAAAATTCAATTACGCTTACTGCTTACTCTGCAGCTCATTCTCTTCCTTTTTTTTTTTTTTAACTGGGACATCTGACCTTCAATCCAGCAATGTTTTTCCTTTTCTTTTTTTTTCTTTTTTGGTTGGGCAATGGGGGCTGAGTGACTTGCCCAGGGTCACACAGATAGTAAGTGTTATGTGTCTGAGGCCGGATGTAAACTCAGGTCCTCCTGAATCCAGGGCCGGTGCTCTACCCACTGTGCCACCTAGCTGCCCCTACTGTTTTTCCTTTTCTCTGCAATCTTTCAAAACTCAGGTGAGTTCCTTGTTACAGAAATTATTTAAGTAGATACCGATGACCACTTGTCAGATGTTATAGTAGAGATTTTCTTCATTCAAGCATTTATTAATTGCCTACTGTGTGCCAGGCACAGGGCAAAACAACGAACAATCCCTGCCCTCAAGGAGCTTAGGTTCTATTGAGTAAAAACCTGCACACAGCAAAGTAAATACAAAGTAGATACAAAGGAAGTTGATGTGGGGGGCTCGACAAGCCAACCTCTGGAGTCCCCTCTCACTCAGAGATTCCATGACAATAAGGAGAGGTGTGAGTGCCTGCTAGCCCAGCCTTCCTATCAACGGCTCTTGGAGCAAAGCCACTCTTTCCAAGTCTGAAGCAGCTCCCTATACTTAAGAGGGGCTCACTTCTAAATGAGATGAAGAAAGATGAAGGCACCACAAATGGGAAGTTCAAAAAAAAATGTGAAAGGAAAGCTCCCAAATCTGCTTGTTTTCAGGGGATGCGATTAATAAATGTTTGTTGACTGACTGTGAAATTGGGAATATTTTATGCCTGTTTACGGCTCCTACTCATCCAATATCTTTGCAAAAATGCCTCATGAGGATCACGAGTGAGACCCCAGTGAAACAGACAGACAAGGTGGTTTGTTGTTGTTTTTTTTTTTTTTTACTAAGCAAAGACTCAGGGTGGTTCTGATTTTCCCTACATTGTTCTGGCCATCTGTAGCACTACCAACCAGCAGAAAGCCTTCCATGGGGCCTGGGCGGCTACTATTTTTATCCTTGGCTGGAATGGGGATCATTCTGAAGGGTGTGAAGAAGGATGAGAAGAGAGGACTTCTAACTGCAAAGCTCTCCTAGGATCTTGTAGATGGAGAAAGAAATTAGGGAGCCGACACAGGTGTTTACAGATGTGGAGCTGGGTCCTTCCGCGTTCAAGAACCCCTTTCAGATGTGCAGTCCCCCCATGACCAACCTGTGCTGGAGGCGGTCTCTGAAGGCTGAAAGACCATGGTGGAAGATGATGATGGGGAAGCCGTGGAAGAGCCGGCCGATTCCTTCCCCTCCAACTCTGTCACAGGCAGCAGCGCGTTCTGAAGCAGGTGAGTGGGGCTGGCGGGGATCCCGTTCTCCAGCAAGAACTCATCCAGGTCCATGTACTCGAGGTGGAAGGACTCACCATCATAGGGGATCGTTTTGTCCCAGATTGGGGGCATGAGGGAGGCAGACACAGCCATGGTGCTGGCCGCAGCTGCCTCATCTTCCTCCAGTTTCTCCTTTTCCTTTTCTTTATCTACAGACACAAAAGTTCACCAAATGAGACAACTCAGTGACAGAGAGGGTCCATGGGTTGCTCCCTACCCTCTGACCCCATCCAGAAGACATTCATCACATTGAGCATCCCAGCTGATCCACACACATTCCATTGCTGTCCAGTGTAAATAAATCTGAGCATCCCATCTCCTAGACCTGGGCTATAAGAGACACAGAGCAAGGACACCTCGTGATGTGTCTTTGATTCTCCCACTGTCCAGATCGGCCCTCTGCACACCAGAGGAGCTAATGTTTGCTGAGCTGAACTGAATGACGAGGCTCTCCTGAACACCACCTCCAAATCCTGGGGCTGGCATTGGTGCCACAGGAGTGCTGTGCAAATCTAGGATGTGGAGCTGTCCTGGAGTAAACAAGAGAATTCAGGGGGAACAGGGAAGGAGAAATTCTGAGATGCCAAAGGTAAGGAGTAAACAAGGATTCTAATCACTTCGACAACCTTGGGGGAAAGTGCCTTGTCACTAAGTAAGAACCTGAGCACGTTCGCCACTCTCCCCTGACCATGCTGGCAGCTGCTGTACAGACAGCTTAGTTTAAAGTGGTCCACACAGCCCCTACCTACCCTGTGAGAAGGTGGAGCTGCTATTTCCAAACTTTTCAAGTTAACACTCAGTCCCAATTATTCTGAGGCTAGGTCAGTTACCAGAAGAGGGAAGTTCCCTAGAAGGGCCCTGCAGTCAGGGCGGGGAGGTTGGGGGCAGAGGAGTAACCCTAAATGAGGGATGGAGGGGAGAAGCTCCCTAATGATTTCAGTCACCACGTGAGCCTAGAGCCAGGCAGGCGGTTCAATGAGCGTCAGAAATAAGAAGCAGATGACCCCATCCTTCGAGATCACCAAGTCCACCCTCTCAGCCTCACCTGTGATTCCTTCCTGTCCCCACCCCCATCTATACACAGCCAGATGCCAAGACCTCTCTCACCTGCCTGGACACCCTTCTCTTTGTTGGCCTCTTGGTCCGTTTCAATCCTCTTCTGATCTCTGTAATCATCTCACTGGCCTTCCAGCCTCTACTTCACCCCACCTCCCCCCACCACAGCTGCCAAATTAATATTCCTAAAACAGATCAATTACCTAGTACTCAAAAATGTTTTATGTCTTCCTTTTGCCTCTACAAACTTCCCAACATTTCTAGCATTTCCAGCCTTCTCCAATCTGGTTACCACCTACCTTTCTGGTCTTCTCATATTCCTTCCCTTCATGCACTCTCTGTTATAATCAAACAGGCTTGCTCAAAGTCCTGTTTGTCACTCTCCATTTCTGGCTACCAGGTTCTTGCCCAGAGTGTCTGCCACGTCTGGAATGCCCTTCCCCCTCACCTCCACCTCCTGGAACCTCATTAACATTAACATTCCTTCCCTGAATAATTTTTGCTTATTTATCTCCACACGTGATGTATGTAATTCCCCAGGAGGAGGTAAACTCCTCAAGGGAAGGGACCATTTTGTGTTGTGTCTTTTTATTTCCAGCAACCAGGACAGTGGTTAGTATACAGCAGGTATTTAATAAATGTTTGTTTCATTGAATTAAGGAGAAGGAAAGGGGCAGAGACATAATCACGGCAAAAAGGAGGCAGAATTACGGAAAATTCCCAGTAGGTTTTAAGATCTGAGGGAGAGAATTCTGAACTGAATCCTCTAATGAAAGAGGAAAACGAATGTGATTACACTGGAAATAAAACTGGCCCCTGGTGGCCTGGACAACAGACAGCAGGAAAACAAATCTTTTGGCTCGGTGTATACTGGCCTAGCAAGTGAGATGGGTGGAAGTTCCTGATCTCCAATCAGACATAATTTAACACCCAGCAAATACCTGCTCTGCTCGGTCGGTCTGAAGAACACCTATGAAGAGGCAAACCCTCCCCACAGACTCTGCTCGGACAAGCTGCCAGCCCACCAGCAGTGAGGTCACCTGGGTCAGAAAGGGGTGGGGAAGGGGCAGCAGTACCAGAGACAGGGGCCATGGGCACAGATGGTGCTGAGCCCAGGAAGGGCCGGCTTTGACCTAGCTGAAGTTCAGACTAGCATCAGGGAAAAAGAAACTGGTGAGAAAGGAGTTAAGTTCAAAGGAGATATGGGACAAAGGTCCCAGGCCACCTTCCAGCTCCACATCCTGCCATCTATGAGATACAGCAGCCCACCAGTCTCCCTCAGGCCCAGGGGCAGCTCCAAGCCTGGCTAATCTCTATCAGCTCATTCCAAGCCAGGAGCTCTCTCCAGCGCCCGAGATTCAGGACAGCAAGCTACTGGATCCAGTCTTAACAAGGGATGATGAATATTATTATTATTAATATCATTATTGGCTCATGACCATCTCTGTTAGGAAGGGAAAGGACACTGGGAAGCTTCCTCAGTTACTGTGCCATCCTAACCAGGACATTCATTCCCTGGGTCTCAGCTCAGGCCCCTGCCTGGAGCTAAACCACCCTCTTAAAACAAACAAAAGCAGCCCTGGGCCCATTCAGTGTAGAGACAAAAGGAAGAGCTGGCCTCACCTGACATGCCGAGGTATTTATAATTCAGGAACGACAGCCAAGAGAAAGCGAGGTCAACATAGGAGAAAGAGAGGGAACATTCACCCCTCTCACCCCCACATTTCTGAATGGCATTTAGAGTTCTGGAGACTTAAATCTGAAACACGCCGCAAAGGACCTAAACCCCCAGCTGCAGAGGCCTTCTGCTGCCAACTTGACTTCCTACCCTAGAGGACCTTTCTGGGGGCAGTGGAGAACCCACTCATGGTGCCAAGAACAGTGGCAGAGCCCAGGGTCTCTCAGCCCCAGAAGAGTGCTTTGCTACAGACGCTAACTCCCATAATTTAGCCCCTAAGTTAGGGACAAAAAGCAGTCCCCCTCCTCACTGACTTACACCATTGATACTGTCAACATTTAATTGAATTTTATTCTGTGTAGGACAGTGGTCAGGTACCGGAGATACAAAGATGTGCAAGGACATCATCCTTTCCATAAACACCTACTATGTGTCAGGTACGGGGATAAAAAGAGGCAAGTGAGACTAATCTCTGCTCTCAAGGAAATGACATTTTCTTGATCCTGACTGATTTCCTTCCATAGATATATACGTACCAAGAAAATCAAGACCCTATCCCTGAGGTTGGCCAACCTTCTAAGATCCCCACTGACCGTTCCCCTTATGCTATCTTCCCACTCAGTGATCCTTCCACGTTCTCCACCACTATTCCTCACTGACTACCTGAGCCTATCCCCAAGTTCCCTCTCCAGTGACCCCCACCCACAACCCACCTCAATGCCATTTACTCCTCCCTTCCTATCACCCTGCACCTTGGCTACATATGGTTAAGAACAAGTCATTTACACTCTCTAAGCCTCAATCTGCAAAACAGGTACCAGAATAGCACCTATCTCATAAAGACGTCTTAAGGACCGAAGGAAAAACGTAGGTAGAGGCAGTCTTAAAGGGCAAAGAAACACAAGCCATTCTTATCAGAGCCTTATCTCCCAGGCCCGTGGCCAGGATCAGACCAGCAATCAGTGAAGTGATCTGCAAACCTTCAGGTGCCACACGGGTGAGAGGCATTTCCCAAGACCTTTCCACATGGCCTCACCTGGCCCCTTATACACAGGGAGGTCTCCACTCCTGCATCTGCCCTCGGACCCACCCCCCCACTGGCCTTCTACCCCTTCCTCTCGGGTCCTCCGTGCATCTCCCACATCCCTGCCCACGACCATGCCTGCCCCCCCCAATGCCGCATTTACCCCCAACCCCTCCTGTTCACCGACTCCCCCTGCCTCTTTACTACTCTTCCTCCTCCTCTGACCCCCTGATCCCGCCCACATCCTCCTCCCCAATCAACCCGGCCTCTACTGATCCCTCCCCAGCTGATCATCCCCCTCCCCTCCCCATCCATCAAGGGGCCCCTCTTTCCAACTGACCCCTCCCCTTCCCCCCTGCTTCCTCTCCCCTCCCCTCCTCCCCTCCCCTAGTGATCCCACCCCTCTCCATCCTCCTCTCCCCGTCCCCATCGCATCCCTCTCCACCCTCCTTCTCATTGGTCTCTCCTATCCCCTCCCCTCTTCATCCCTTTCCCCAGCGATCCCACTCCCCTCCATCCCCTCCCCCATGGATTCCCCTCCCCCTCCCCTGCGCGCAGGCGCACTGCCGTCCCCTTCCCGCCCCGCCCCCTCACCGAGCCTCGCCTCGCGCGGCGGGTTCTCCATCAGCTTCTTCAGCACCAGCGGGAAGGAACCCGGTGGGCCCCGCTCTGCCGCCGCCTCCCTCCCCGACCCCGCCTCGGCCTCCAGCGGAGGCTTCTTCTCGCCCCCGCCGCTGTCGGACATGGTGGCCCGCGCCGGGCTCGGCTGCAGCTTCTGGCCGAGAGCGCCGTGAGAAGCCGCCGCTGCTGGCTTGAGGCTCTACTGCGCAGGCGCAGACAGTCCCTCTCCCCTCCCCCCGGAGCGCTCCGGCACATTCATTATTCAGAAGGCGAACCCCCGCGGCCCGCGGCTGGGCCTCGTGATGGGCCCGCCCCCGGAGGGAGGAGCGAACGCCGCTCGGCATTCTGATTGGGGCAGTGGCCGGGGGGCCCGCAAGGCACGTGCGGGGCCCGGTGAGCGGCGCCTCCCGAGGTCCCGCCTCCGATTCCTGATTGGGTCCCGCAGACGCGGGTGTCACCGGCTGTTGCTTTCTCCGCTCCTCGGCTCCCTCCCCTCCCGCGCTCTCCTCTCTCCCCCAACTCCTGTGCCTAAAGCTGCGGCCTCCTAACCCTCCAGCCCCGCCGAGACTGGAGAGCCGGGCGGGGCGGAGGGGGAAAGAGTCGTGGCTTGGGCCGGGGGCCAATCAGTGAGCCCGCCTCACGGAGAGCCGCCCGGTTGGGTCACGTGGAGCCGCAGCTGTCCTTGGGTGCAAGGGTTGGGAGGGGAGGGAAAGAATCAGGAGCAACCAATGGAGGGCGGGGGCGGGGCCAGAGAGCTCGTGGCTCTGCACGTGCGTGAGGGGGCGGGGCCGGGTAGAGGGCGGGGTGGGGAGTGGGGCGGAGGAACGGACGGCACCCAAGTGCTCCCAGCCGGAGGTGCAGCGCTGAGCTCCGCCCCGAGGTGGAGGCCGAGGCTGTGGCCCCGCGCCCCGCGTGCACCACGCGTGCTCGATAATTCTTAATCATTATCACCGAGAACATCGAATAAGAGTCGCTGTCATTTATTGCACTTTAAGGATTGCAAAACAGGTTCGGGAGATGATCTCACTCAATCCTGCGGACAAGTCCCGTCCTCCAAGTATCAGTTACAGTGTGGAGAACCCAGGCGATTCTGCCGTCCCCTCCTGAGCCCCAGCCCACGGGTCCAGGTGCTGCTGGACGCGTCCACCTCGGTGGCCCATGGGCATCTCCAAAGCCACGTGGCCAGTGGAGCTCGTTACGGGCCCCGGCCTGCCTCCCCCTTGTCCGAACATCCTTATTTCTGCGGAGCCCACCCACCGGCACTCCGTCACCCAGCTTCCCACTCTCCTTGGTATCCAGCCCTCCCTCTCAAAACCCAATCCGGGGTGTCCAACAAGCCGTGGCTTATCCGCCATGTTTCTGAAGCGTGGGTTCTTTCCCAGTGCCGTTCACGCGACCCCAGCCCTAATTCTCTTTCTTAGTCTCTCCTAAGTACTCTCCTGATCGGTCTCCTAAATCCATTCTCTTTTGTCGCTGATCTCGCTACCACACAACTGCCAGGTTAATATTCCTAAAATGGGCCCGACTGTTGCAACCCAGCCTCTGCCACTCAGCAGTCTGCAATGGCCTCTGTTGCCTGTCAAATGCAAAAGCCTGGCGCGTCGAGCCTGCCACAATCCTCCTACCTTTCCAGTCGTATTTCATTAGCTCCCCCTCTTTCCCCTCTGTTATAGGCAAAGCTGGCTTACTTCCCGTTCCTGGTCCCCAGCTGTCCATCTCTTGCTTTCATGATTTTGCGCTGGTGGCCCCCCATGTCTGGAAATCACTCCCTGCTCACGGCCACCTTTTACAATCTCTAGCCTTCAGGCTGGGCTTCCGTATACGTGCTCCATGTTTGTTTGAGAGCCGGGACTCTTAGTACTCCGTCTTTATATCTCCAGAGTCTAGCACAAGACCCCACCACTGAGTTGGTGCAATTTGGAGGGCCCCTTTCAACAAGAGAATGAATAGCAAAAATATAGCCACAGAGAGTAACAGGACTGGAAAAGGTATGCAAAGAAACCTATGGGGGATGGACCATGGCTCAGGATGCAGAGTAGAATGAGGAGGAAGAGCAAGATGGCTCCCCCAGGGTTTTGAACGCCCGTCCGAGCCCATCTCTAACAGGAGCACTCTGGTGGAGCCCTACGCCTAGTAATCATGAAATACCACGATGTCAAAAAAGAATCGTAAGGCGTCCCAAAAGCAGCGGGGAGGTCCACAGCCTGTGCTAAGTAGGCAGCAGGCAATATTAGCTCCAAGGTTGACTTGTAGCAAGAGCCAGCTGTACAAGTGAGATCTAGGAAACATAAAGTTGGAAAAAGATGTGCCCCAGTGGGGCGGTGAGAAGGAAGGCTGCCGGAGCATCTCCTGGGAGAGAAAGCCAGAACTCGTACATTTTCACCAGAGGATTTATGGCGGGACTTGACCTGGCTCAGACTCAGATGCACGAGGTGGGAGTTATTAAGGGAAGCACCCGGTCTTTTGCTGGACAGCTCCAGCACTTAGAGGCCCTGGCCTGGGCCTGATGGATCCAAGCTAAGTCTTTGGCTGTCTCTCCTGACTTCCTGGGCCTCAAACCCAGGTCTTTTGCCTCTGAGTCCTATGATCAATCTTCTCACTGCAGGTAGGGCCAAGTCTATGGAGGGATGCTCTGTAGGAGAGACAGAAGAAGCCCCTGACCTAGAGGCAGGAGGTCTGAGTACTAATCCCTCCTGTGTTGTTAAGTCTAAGCAAGTCCCTTCACCTCTGCATCTCAGTTGGTCTGTCAATATGGGGAAAATTTAAATACTGTTTGCACTGCCTACCTCACGGGCTCTGCTTTCAGACTGCTAATAAATACATTATTGATATTTTCCCTTCAGGGGTGTCAGGGTGTGGCCACCCCACAAAGGTGGATTGGAGAATACTGAGAATCAGAATATTTGAGAGCTGGAAAGCATCTTAGAAATCTATGGAGAGAGATAAGGGAGTGAAGTGGTTTGGCTGGAAATCATCTCCCCGACTGTAAGAGAGAGACGTTCAGAGGCAGAGAGAG